ATCCTCTTTTATAGGTTATTCAACATGCTGATTTCGATGAGACCTGATAAAAGCTCGTCACTAATTTGCTAAGGCTCACCGCCACGCCCTCGCTCTTCGGTTTTGTGTAGTACTAGCCAAGTCCCTAATCTTTTGCAGAGTTCATAGCTGAATTTCTAGAAAATTTCTCAGACTAAAATTCAAACTAAAATGCAAAACGGAATAGACTAAAAACAATCGCGGTTATAACAATACTGTGGAATGTTTGAACTCTTAAGTGTCTTATTTAGTCCTGGTGTATTAAAGAGATGTTACTGCCTGAATGTGTCTCAACTTTAGAACTGTCATCAAATTCGGCTTGCTAGCCCAAAAGTGTCACAAGAAAAAATGAGTCGATGGGACGACCCTGATGGAAAGGCGGGCCCACACAAGTGCTTCTCATAAAACTTGCGAATCTTTTGGACTAGTCGAACCGAAGGCCTATTCTACAGGAAAACCTTCGCAACCAAGAATTTTAAACGTTGCTTTGATCCGAAACTTCTACCATGGAATCCAAGAACCAAGCCTTAACCCTAAAAACCCTTGCCTTTAACTCTCCTAACATCATTAAACTGGTTTAACGTCATTGCGGACAAAAAAAGCGGAAAAATCGGTGTTTTTCGTTGGGATTTTCACGAAAAACCATATTAATCAATAACTCTTAACAGACACCGTTCGATGCCGTTTTTCATGCTGTATCCAAATATGTCATCGGTTTTTAGAAAAAGTACTTTGCAATCAAAAAACGAAAAAACCTGTAAAACACTGAGGTTTTTAGAAACTCTGCAGCATAACTCAGGAAAATTTGTGCATCTTTGCGTGCCCCTGGGAAGATGCGTTATACGTTGAAAGATAATGGGTGGAAATTCCATTAAATTTGGGGTTGGGCCATAGTGGCCACCCTCACTATAGTGAAGGCACCGCTAACAACGCTACTTAGTTAACAAAGAACGATTGCTATTTGCGTCACGAAAGACTTTTAAAAGAAAATTTCAATCTGAATGAGCGAAGAAAACTTTAGCTTAAGAAAATAAGGACAAAAGGTATAAATCGAACAAAGTTGGTGTGCTGAGAAACCACGTTGAAGTCATGTTAAATGTAGAATATTCCACTTATGTCAAGGTTAGTTTATTCAGTTTCTCACGCTCTTTCGAATAGTGGCGTTAAAAGCTGTTCACGTTATTTCGTTTCTAAAAACGTTAGACATTTCTACGAATTATGACATCATATGCTGCGAGTCAAGTTTCAAAATCCCAGAACTAAGCTATGAAATATTCTCAGAACATTCCTAAACTATGATTTCGCTCTTCGTGACGACTGCACTCACGAACAAAACAATAGTAACCGATATATAGTACTTTTTTGTTATTATTTTTAAATGACCTTCAGTTATTTCACAAAAACAGATGTGTTAGTTCTCAGTTTATTATCAAAAGTATCTCAATATATTGCATACTTTGGTTTTTATTTGTTCTTTCTGAAAAAAAGAGATACAAAAATCGCAGTGATGTCGTCGTGTTTTACTCTGGTTGTGATCTGTTGTATTCTTTTTCCAATGGTATACTCATCACCAAGAGCCGTCGGTCAATCACGTAATCTTCTTCAATTTAACAATATGATTAGTCATAAAGGTTTAAGTTCATCTGAATACACGGATTATGGATGCTGGTGAGTCCTTCTTTAGATGAATTGAACTTAAAATACAAAGTCATCGAAATCCATTATGACCAATATGTGTGCAGGCGACCAGTTATTTTTCTTGACGTTTCATGATCATTTAAAATCAATTCTGACATTCTATATGAGCAGCCAAAACATTCTAACCCATATAGCTTCTTTACACTTTTCGTACAACTACTATATGATTCAAAATATAAGATACTATGCGCCTCTTTGAATAACTCTGTAATGCAAAGAGATATTCCGAAACGGGTTTCGTCAGTTTGTAGCCAAGTTCGGGGGACAACGAACTATAGAAGAAGAAAAACTTTCGATCGGATTTCTAGAGGGTTTTCAGGTGGATCTTTGGAAAACCCCAATGATTTTACAGGATCTATCTGAAGTCACCAGCTCAACATTTTCGAAACATCGTCACTTTCTGGTACATAGCGGAAACAGCTGGATTTCGAAAACGTTGAGCTGGTGACTTCAGATAGTTTTGAGACTGGAAGCAAACATCATCACTCGACTTAGCGTAGTCGATTACCCCTCTCTAGGCCTACATTCGGCTGATCCAGGGACAACTGGCCGAAATGGGAAACCTCTGAAAAACCCTTATAACTCTTGGACAAAACAAGCTGAAAACACAAGTTAGACTTTACGTAGTTCGGAAGACAACAATTTTCTCTATCGAATACATGTGTTAAACATGAAAATCCAGTATTGGATCCTGGAAAATCAGTGGAGTTTTCTAAAGATCCACCTAAAAACCCTCTGGAAATCCGATCGAAAATTTTTCTTCTTCTATAGTTCGATGTCCCCCGGACTTGGCTACAAATTGACGAAAACCGTTTCGGAATATCTCTTTGCATTACAGAGTTATTCAAAGAGGCGCATAGTATCTTATATTTTGAATCATATAGTAGAAGAGTTTCACAACACCTTGCAGATTTTTTTCTTCCCGCGTAGGTGTGGTCGCGGTTCTCACGGATCCGAAAAATTTATTGATCAAACTGATTTATGTTGTAAAATTCACGATAAATGTTATGATGCCTACTTTGGTTGGTTTGACGGATGTTGGCCATATGCAACATATTATTCATGGGTTGGTCATGATAATGGTGAAATAGAATGCAGTGCTACTCAACAGGATACATGTGATTACAAAGTTTGCATGTGTGATAAATTAGCAGCTGATTGTTTTAAAGAAAATCGCCCATCATACAGCACAACCAATGTTGATATCCAAAGTGAAATATGTGTTTGAGAAAAAAAATGTTGAGTAGTTTCTGAAAACAAATGTGGATTATTGTTCATGTTGTCTTGATAATAAATATAAAGCCACATCAGTATGTACTCTGGTTACAAATTCTAACTATTTTAACTTTAAAATTGATAGCATTTGAATTAATCCAGATGAGTAAATGTCCTTCCGTGGAACTCACTGGCATGGTTTTTCGAGAAGCAAATCATCGACAGCTTCCGTGTCAATGCTGCTGTCGATAGAAAGCTTAGAGTTAATCTTTATTTTGCATATAAATAACCAATTTTCTAACAGATACATTTGAATACGAAGGAAAACACAAATACGGTCATAGGTCATACGGTTGTTTTTCATAATCCCGTATCGTATGGTCATCTTCCATATATTCCCGCTAACTGATCGGTGTTTACACCAAAATACAAATCGGTAGATAGGTTGGAATCATACACTAAATCAATGGAACATAACGTCTAGACATCAACTGAACTAGAAATTCCAATTGTTTCTTTTAAAAGCATTGATATTTTACTGAAAGAAACCAAAGAATAGGGGAGGAAAAGAATGAAGGTTATTGAAACTGATAATAAACGAATATTAACACATAGAGAATTCACTTTTGCTCGCCATCACACAAATTCCTGCAAGAAAGCAATTCAGGTATTGCGCAAGTAGGAAATCAAATAAGCAGGAATTCAGGAATTTAGGAATTAAGGAATTCACAAATTTAAGGAAAGCAGGAAATCACGAATTGAGCAAAGTAAGAAGTCAAACAAGCCGGAATGCAGAAATAACTTTTACTCGTTGCCGCTAAGGAAACGTAACTGACGAACATCGTCAGGGCGTGGACAAAAGTATAAACACAAGGAAACACGCGCCTGTACTTGCTCGGTCTCTGGACTCTAGGAACTTAAATCTGAAAACAATCTGCATGACTTTTGAATCCAAGACAACGCTCACTTCTCGCTTTGGTCGTCGTTTGCTGGGGGCTTATAATAAATATATGCTATGAATTTTTCTGCACTTTCATCTGTAAGGTTGCTAATTTAATGTAAACCTAAAAGGTTTTCGCTCCAAAGATCCTCAGAGCTCTAAAATGGTTTGTGAATTCAAAACAATGCTCACGGCTTCATTCGATTGACACTCTGAATAGGTGACAAACTTTATGAACTCTGATTCTACAGAAAGTACGCACAATATAATATAAAACTAAAACGTTTGCTGCACACTCTAAAGATTCAAAGGGTGACATCTGTCCCCCAGCTACAGAAAACGTTTCCTTAGCTTTTCTTTCTCTCTGCATCAGTACATATTATTTCAACCATCTCTATGAATACTTTCTCTCTTGCCTAAAAAACAATTGTCTATTTTTCTGTTTTGTTTCCTTGACTTTAGTCTAGGGTATTACAAAATGGTTGTCTCTCTGTGTGTCTGTGTGTATTTTGTGTGCGCAAAATACGGAAAAACGGCTGTCAGATATTCTGTAGATAAGCGCATTACAAGAGGGAAAACTATAAAATTTTTTACACAAGAGAGAAAATATTCAAGCGGTGACTCAAAAAAAATAATTACTGATGCAGAACGAAACAAAAACTAAGCAAATGTTTCTATAGTTGCGACATAGATGTCGCCAGAAATCAGTCCATTATGATAACACAAAAAAAAACATGTACGGATAATAAAACTTACAGAATATAGATAGTCTATCATGGCCAATTGATCAGAAATACTTGCAGCCTCCCCTCGGACCTTCATTGGGTGTCCAGAAAAGTTCTTAGCTGGGTATGTCCATTCAGGCCGGCCCACTTTATACAGACATCACAGAAGATAATTTTTTAAACCAGACCGATTTTATCTTTTTACCCTTTAGAACAATTAAGTTGGAAAATAGAATCATTTATGCAAGAAAAATAAGGAAAAAGCGTTTTGGGTTGTTTGCTTTTTACTCTAACCTACATACTTTAATAACTGCATAAAAATTGGA